AGTGCCCCTAGTTTGTCAGTGACTACTCGACTGAAGATGTGTCAATACCGATGAGGCGTTGCTTACAGGACGGGCATATGGGGTTTTTCTCGTGCCCTATGACCTGAGGGCTCGCGCGATACCGGCATCTTATGCATGTGGTACCGTGGGAATATAAGGATAGCTACCTGTGCACAATTCTGTCGTTCTTACCGTTATTGTGGTTATTAATGTATAAATAATTTGATGCAATGGTCAATCAATTTATAAACAATGCGAGTCACTACGAGAGATAACAAAATTTAGAATTGTATCTTCAAAATAAAAATAATCTTCGACAAGGCAACCAAATACGTTTACAGAAATATATTCGATACACTAAAATATGCTCCAAAACAATAGCATGTGTATGTTTTGACAGTACTTTTCAGAGGTGATAATCCTGTTTTGCTACATTCAAAATCTATTCTACTAATTCCAGAAAAGTGGTAAATAAATGTAAAAGTGTGTTAATCATATAAATATAAAATCCATTTTTATATGTTGATACCCATGTCATTGGACTAGCATCACAGGGATAAATGATGAGGAACTGTCAATGGTTCCTAAGAATAGCAATTATATTCATTAATAATTGTTAGTAGCACCAAATATATAAAAATTCAAACTTCTGCACTCATGTTTGTTTACTATAGTGAAGAGTATCAAAAGTCCAATCGCAAAATAAAGAAACAAACATCTGATGTAAAATTATTGAAAATAAAGACATTTTAAATAGTATTAGAACCAAACAAGATTTCTTTACCTTTTAAAACCTGAAAATAATATAAACCAGGCGGCGAAATTTTAATGACAATTTAAGTAAGTGAACTGATTTAAAATCAAGAGTGTCACCACTTACAACAATGGTCAGTGGAACCTGCTTGTCCACAAAGAGTGAGGAATAAGGACCCGGTAAATATACAAACCTATACATAACAAAAGCTCATAGTTCTACCAACACAATGGTGGTTACTGGCACATCTCGGCCTGTTTCTCGCGGAATATTCAACATAAACCAAGCGTGAGACCCTCTACCATGCGCTCTTACGCTTGAAAGTATCGTTAGGCCAAACAACAGGTGGACGATGTATTTGACGCAGGGGAATTATGAGATGGCCAGACGTCATCGATATGTCGCGAACAGTGAAGAGTTTTGTAGATTCCCATGATAGTATAACCTTGAAAGACTATTCAACATTGTGTTTTAGAAATAATAAGTTGTAGTGCATATTATTTATACAGTCTTTCTGGGGCGTTACTAATCAGACCGAGTTACATAGAAAAAGAAAGTGTCTCTGTTTTAACGAATGCCATTATATATGGTTAATCCGTAGCAAAAAGATACGCGCAGTCGGCAAAGATCAATAGCCAAGATTTGCTTCTTTGTTAATACACGGGCGTGACAGAAAAATATTTTATATATGTCTGTTTAGGGAATTGGATACTTGATGAATAATTTATCAAATACGTTAGTCTGTTAGTTGTAAAATAAACGGCCTGTGGTTCATATCACCTGGTCCACATGATATTTGCCCAAATAAGGATGATTTCGGTCTTGAAAAATAACTGCAATGATTAGATTTAACACCTTTATTAACACTACATCTAATAGAGAAAACTGTATTTAAAATATTTTCATTGACTCGTTTAAAAATAACTGCAATGATTAGATTTAACACCTTTATTAATGCTACATCTAATAGAGAAAACTGTATTTAAAGTATTTTCATTGACTCGTTTGAAGTTTCCTACCTCTACACATCCTGGACCATTATGTGAAATCTTCGCCTGGTGCAGAAGGCATTTCTCAACTCCTCTTTCATTATATTAGCCATAGCAGTCTTGTGCTGAATAGTTTTTTACTTTTTACATTAGCAATTTTAAATTTTAAAGTTACCTATTCATGGTTTTTACTGTTGCCCAGAAAGTGCAATATAGGAATTTATTAGGTTAAAAACGTGCGTGTTTTCGATCTGCAGCAACACATAATCAAAAAGTCAAGCGAATCAACCACCAGCTCTCACTGTTCTCTTTATACATTGTGTAAAATAGTCATTGGAAGCTATGGGAAGTAGTCGTTGTCTTAGCGGTCCAACTTAGGGCAACATTGTCTGATTGTTACAATTCTTTAATCTTCCTCTTCCTTATTAAAAGTTCACAATCATCAGGAAACGGGACTTAAGCTACAATGCAACGCAAGCAGAGCGCCGCTACTGACTGACTGAGATTATACTAACTTACAGCTGTGGTGTAACATAGCTTTGTATGAACCATATATACATATGCAAGCCACTTTAATTCAATGAATTAGTCGCCCTCTTGTAAAGTAACTCGATTCATTCATAACTAAGCCGGTGAGATCGAAATACGTCACAACACCATATATATACATATATATTAAACTACAGTTGCCTTTTCATTGACAATTCTTCGTTTGAAACACGTGAACGTGAAGTACAGTGAAAAAATAACACAGGATATAAAACGAAGAGCAGACAACCTAACCCTTAGTTGAAGGATGTACGTGAGAGGAGGGGTTACTATAGTGTTGTCCAGAACCGGTTGTTTCTAGTTCAGGCCAACAAGTGCACCACTCTTTACAGTTTAATCACACTTGAACTGAAGTGCCTCGTATTAAACAAGCTTAGTTTATTCCAAAAACATTAATAATGTTAGGGGACTGTACGTGGGTTTTCTATGTAATAAGCAGAACTAAAGAAACAGATTTGCTAAAACCATGAAGAAAAAGCTTGCCACAACAAAATATGGTACTGCCAACATATCAAATACTAAAGTAAAATATTAAAAAATGCTTTAATCCACGTGTTGAATTTATTACGTATATTGGCCTAAGGTCATTTATTCCAGTAATTTCTCCAGAAGAAGTATTTCTGAAAACTTTATTAACATACAAAAATAAGTAAACTAATACGTTTTTTCCATGTTAAGGGTGTTCAGAACAATTTATTATAAATAATATATGCTCTATTATTTTAGTCATTCACAGATATTAAAATATGTTTCTAATTTCACATTACAAACTTCTATATATGTGTGTGTGTGTGCTTGTAATTATATTAAAAATTCAAATATATTTCTAATTTCACATTACAAACTTCTATGTGTGTGTGTGTGTGTGTGCTTGTAATTATATTAAAAATTATATCGCAGTTGCAGTGGTTACTGATGCAGAACAATATCTCTAACGCACAAACGCAATATACACTGCAGCTTTTTTTATTCGACACGCTCGAGCAAGAACAGACCAACTGACCTGATGTACTTCAGCCTTTACGGGGGCATAATTTTTTCTACCAACTTCAACCTTCCTCTATACCCCACCTCACCACCCGTGTAATGACTACATGTACTTACTTTGAAGACGTATAATAAATGCCTTGGATCAGATGAAACCGGATGAACTGACGTGAAAGTTGGTTTAAGTTGTACATAAAACGCGTGACAACGCAATAAACGCATTCTCCATTGTACTGCAAAAAAAAACAAAAAACACTTTCATTGTGTAGTTTTGTTGTTAAACACAAAGGTACACAATCAGCTATCTGTGCTGTGCCCACCACGGGTATCAAAACCCTCTGACTTACCTTTTAACCAATGTTTTTATACTGAAAAGTAAAAAGACAAATAATGCTGGTTATGAAAAACGTCAATATTAGTGAATATGTACATATGTTGTAAGTTATATATATAGTTCTATTCTACTTGGATACCTGTAACTGCATTAAAAAAAAAACAGAATATTTCTATACGATGCAAATTTTATTTATTTATGATAATTTGGTATTAAGTTTTAATATAACATCTAGCAACAATTTGCTATTGGTAGTTTTAATAAAACATCTAGCAACAATTTGCTATTGGTATTAAGTTTTAATATAACATCTAGCAACAATTTGCTATTCAGCTTTACCAAAATATCTTTCCTTATGTAAATGAAGTGCGGAAAATACCAGCATACAGAACGAAACCATTATGTATATCTTTTTGTATCTTAACGCAGCTCTTGCTACTGAAGAAGTAGTATGCCTGATACCTCAAATTTTACGATGGAAGACTCATTTGTATGGGGGAGTTGTATATCGTCTCTCAGCAGCCTCATTACTGAAGCCTCGTTCACAGGTTTGCACACGTGCCTTAAAAGCAGGCTTTACTTAAGCACAGTCAAGGAGGCAGAGGCATGTACACTCTTCTTAAAACACAAGCCAACACAAGATGTGAAATCTGATATCATCCGCTGCAACGTTACTTCGAACAGACCAAGTTTTCATTCATGGTATGGCTGAGCGTTAGTTGGGGGAAGAAAAGAGAAGCTCTACGTTGTTAGAGCTATACACAACCCACCTCTACCATGAAAAATCTGCTACGGAGGGAAGTGTATATCTTGAGGCTCTTACACAGAAAATCATGGCGACTATTTTTTATTTATTTATTTAACAGCACCGCTCTGTGCTTAATGGTGAACCTGGATAAAGAAGTAACTCCTAATACTACTCATATTTTCTGACTATCTCATCTCTAAAAAAAACTTGGTTACTATGGTCGCAGGTTTTCAGTTGCGATTCTTAACAGGCTTCAGACGAGCAATGATTACATTTTTAAAGCAGTTTAGTGTGAATACTGTGATGACTTACTGATGTAATAATTCAGAGGTTTAAATGTTTTTCGGAAAAATTTAGTATATTAAAAGTGGTAAATCTTATTATCGGGAAGTTAAAAAAATATTTACAGAGCATACTTACTGTAATAAATTATAATCGTTACAAAATAGTTCAGGATATACTATATTAATTTATACGAAAAAACATTTTTGGTACAACATATTCAAATGCATGCAAATATTTTTGGTTTGCAGAAAATAAATAACAAACTTTAATGTATATTTGAAATTAATCGATGAAAATGCACAGAAGATAACATAATTAAAGGCTAAACGTATTTATCATAAACTCTTTGCTTACTTTGGGAACTCTGGGTTTCTTGCTGCTAGCCATTGTGGTGTTACTGGAGTTTTGAGGAAAAAAATCGGTTTGCTCCAAAGAATAGTCACTGTAAAACGATTCCAGTTCCATTTTCTGCTTGATTCAAACGTACACAAAACGTTTATTAATTAAACCTATTAAAAACAAAACAACTTCTATTCTAAAATAAACCGTTGAAACAAGATTTCAATTATTTGTACTACTACATCTTGTAGAATACGCTACACGTGTCGAAGAAAGCATTTAGTGTCTTCAATACTGTCGTTAAATACAAACGCACAGTATATCACAACATTTCGAGTTTTCTTCCCTTTAGATAATATTATATCTAATGAACAGAATGATTTCGCGGCAGTAACAACTAGTACTGTTAATTTAGCAAAGTAGTTAAGCGAATAATACAGAGTTGTATATGTACTGACAGTGCATGACTAACTGCAACCCAGCAGTTAAATCTTACAAAAAAACACGTTGCTCGAAACACCGTCTAGTCATTTAGCTAGTTAAACAATATCTAATACTCTCTTGTTTTAATTGATTCCACTAGCAACACGTTAAAACATCAAATATAAAAAGTATCAACCTACAATTTTAAAGTTTTGTATGAAAATATAAACAATTTATATATATCCTAATCACTATATATCCTAATCTTACTTCAACTAATTCTTACTTGGCAAATAGCAACTCAAAACGAAAATATTTTTCTTGCTGAAAGATAGACTTAAAGGTTTAAACTCAAGTACATCCTACCATACCACATTATTTTGCCTATTAATTCAAATATCCATATATATTTGTTTTTTTCAAGTAGAGGATCCACGCGGTTGAATACACTCTTCTTCAATTAACCTTGAATATGATACTAATACAAATCAATAAATTATTCCATAAAAACATTAATTGCAAATATGTTTACCATATGTGCTTGGTTTTATGGTCTTCGGTTGGCTGTTTTTAAAAAAAGTAGTTCGTCCACTTAATTTTTCATTCTTAATTTAAAAACATGCAACTAATGTTGCGACTAATGTACAAAAACAAATCAGTGATGATGTAAGCCAAGTTTTTTATACTATTGCTAGCACGTTTAAAAAATATTTTTGCCTTGCTCTGTATAGGAAATAATTCACATTTAGTATCATTTGCAACTTGTTACCATAGCTGAGTCATTGTTTAAATGGCTGAAAATAGTTACGTGTAATTGTTTTCCTTATATAGGTTCAAAAATGGCGGCTACATTATACTTTATGGTCAAATTTGCCTAAGAATGACAGTTATTCTGTAGATAAGTACCATAGGTAAAAATTACTTAAATCTATATGAAGACAACAGCATTAAATTAAATACATAAAATGATCCCTTTTAAATTTTACGAATAACATTAAGTAAAATACACAAAATGGAGTTAAATTTAAAAATGTTGATAAAAATTGCCTATATCAGTTTAACGTTAAGTAATAAACATGGTATTGTGGACTCGTCATTAGTTTAACTGCTTGACAATCGTGGCTACCAAAAATTGTAATGTTTGAAAGGGACTGGAATTTTCTTTTAAAAATAACTAAAATCAAAGCTTAAATTTAGACACATGACAACAATAAGATTCTAGTATCCATTCTAATTTCTAATTCTAAGCGCCTGTTATTGCTTTAATATTAATAAAGTTTAAACCAATCATACAATAAAAACACTGAAACAATAACGTAACTTTAAAACACAATTTTCATTTATATAAGACATAATGAGTAATACGTCGTGAAGAGTTTTCGAAAAATAACGAAAAACAAAACTTTGTAAATTACAGAAATGCTTACTTTTAATGAAGTATTTAGCTTGGCAGGTAGCAGGCTAAGCCTAACTTCCAACTGCTGCCGCTGTTTGTCAGGGTTGGCCACCCGCTCGCTCTCGAATTTTGAGGTGTTGTCCTGTGTAGTAAGTCGAAAGCGGCTTGTAAGTCTTTGTTAGACTCTGCTTGACGTCGTCTGCCAACTTTCTAACCAACCCTGATCTTGTGAGTATAGAAATATTCAGACCAATTACAGAGAATTCTCCGACAGGTTTCTGTTTCTGAATAATAACATAAAGTATTTTCAAAAAAGAAAAGTAGACGAAGCAAAGCCAGTTGCACTGCCAGTTCAATACAAAACTTTACTCCTGTCCCAAACCAGTCGTTAGGCAGTTCCCGTGTTTCGGTATTAGTGTGTGCGTTTGTGAATGGAAAATGCTCTTCGTTTATTGGTCGATCTCAGTGAATAGTTGGTGTGGGAGTCACTACCAGTTGGGGCCCCAAGCGTTTATGTGTAATTGCATGACGTCATTGGAACTACAAGGTATTTGCCCCGTAAGTGGGATAGTAGGGGTTGAAAAAGGGGTGGAATTTAGAGAAGCGAGGTCAAACATCCACGGTTTTACTTAATATTTTGTGAACACTTGTTGAAAGAATGGTCAGGTGTTACACATTGTTGTGCAGCAGCATGTCAATCTGTTACACTATGGACATTTGTTGATTGTTCTCTGTAATTAGTATTACAAGTACTGGGGACGTTTGTTTAGTGTAGTGTTATAAATAATGTAAATATTCAAAACTCAACCCTAATCAAGACCATTAAAAATTCCAAATAATGTGCAGCTTTAGCTATCTAATGGAAGAGATGTAAAACTTATCAGTTAATCAAAACTAAAAAAATATAATTGGATGAGATATTATATGATGACTTGTGATAAACTCGGAAAGTCCCTGTATAATGCAGTCAGTAAGCTATTGTTCAGATAACGTATTTGTTTAGGCTTAGTATTGAAGCAGAAAAAGGACGTTTCATTTACATGTAGACGTTTACGTTTTGTAATATAATTATGATTCAAAATTATTTTCAGGAAAAAAAAATCTGTTTGTTACACGAGAATTGAATGTTTAGCTAAATGTTCGTCCCAGCTGGGAGAGAGGTAAGTTTATGGACGTACAACGCTAAAATCCGGGGCTCGATTCCCCGCGGTGGACACAACAGATAGCCCCAATGTGGTCATGTTCTAAAACAAACAAACAAGAAAATTGTTCTGAATGGTCAATATAAATATTTGTTTATACAATAACACGTGAATTTGTTAATAGCTAGTCTCATTGTGTAACTTTGTGCTTAATAACATGCAAACAAATAAACAAACACAATTGTTATAGCTGAGTGACCGGTATTCCTTTGTAAGTTATTTGTGATTCCAAATATTCCAGTTCAAAGTTAATTATCCAAAAATATAATATTAAGATAATTTCTCTTACATTATAAAGAAAAGCTAGAGATGATGTTAAAAGTTAATTGAATAAAGATTGCCTTCTTTTTTTCTCTTGGTCACTAAATGCAAAACTTTAAATAAAGAGAAAATCAAATAATTGGGATAGTATTGAATAAGAATGGAAAAACATATTTTCTATAGTACGTGTTTTTAAAAGGAAGTTGGTTGGACTTAGCACTTTAGGACTAACGGTGCTATATATTGTGTATTGAATACGGACGATTATTACATAATAAAGTAAGAAAGAAGGATTATACGATTTCATATATATAAAAATGTATTATTGTTGTCCTTAATGAAACAATCAACTTCAAAGTTTCCAATGAAACAGATACTTTTAATTTTGATTTGTAAACTTTCCATTTTCAAATAGAAATAAATATTTCAAATAAGTTATATTACAATATTTACTATTCATAGCTTATTAGATACAATAGAAATTATTCAAAATTATCAGATTTCATGAATAGGGCTCTTAAACTATATCTTATTTTTCATAAATGAGATTTCTCAGTTTGCACTTTGAACAAGAAATTCATTCAATTTTGCGGAAAATCCAATAATTGGATTGTTTCCGAAGTATTTTATAGAATATCACGACGTTATATAGAATATCACGACGTTATCAGTTCGTTTGTTTGAAGTTAAGCACAAAGCTACACAATGGACTATCTGAGCTCTGCCCACTACGGGTATCAAAACCCGGTTTCTAGCATTGTAAGTCCGCAGACATACCGCTGTGCCACTGGGGGGCGACGTTATCAGAACTTCAGACCGTACTATATTTTCTTAGAAATTGTTTAAAATAACAATGAACCAGTGCAGCATCATTACTAATATTAGTTTTAACTTTTAGCATAGTTAATTTGGACTATATATATTATGACATTTCGTTGTTAACTGTGTTACATTATTTTTTGTCAACTACTTTAATAGTCATATTTCTCATTGTTGTTACTTCAGGGATATTGGTTATTTTGCTGTGCTGGTGGTACTGTCCTAATGCTCGATTCTGTAGTTACTGATCATACATATGTCACAAAAACATTTGGGATGAAAAACAAATTAAAGTATTAAAATTCTTGAAAACATAACCGTTCATTATTCGTTTAAAAGCTTCAGATGTAGTTGTACGAGTCAATTAGTAAAGTATATTGTTAGTCATCTTATCTAAAGTTCAAAGCACCTTAACAAATGATAGGATACACTGCATAGAAAGCACGTTTGATTAGCTGACCTCTGGGTCTAATCAAGGAGTGTGTTTGATTGTTAAGAGATAAAGCTAGTATACAAATAGAATCATTAGGTATGTATATGATTGAATGTTTAAAAACTACTTGGAAAAGTAATCATAGCATATAAGCTGTAGTATTGTAAAGAATCCAGGATTAAATCTACGACAGTACTTGAAGCAGAAAACCATTGTTGATAAGATCCGCAAGAAAGATTTGCTATATTCTTTCTTAGCGTTACGTTCGTTAGCAGTGTCAGTAGAAATGTATAGTAGATCTATTTTTATTACTTTTTTAATAACATTTACTAGTGTAATTTTACTATTAATATCATTTTGTAGTGTGTAAATCAGTGCATGTAAATTTAGAAAAGTATTTTTATATAATGTATACGTAAAGTTTACACTTTTATTTTTGGTGTTGCTTCTGTTCAAAGTGTCAGTAGGGTAATAGGTGTGTTTAATACATTTACTTTTATTAACTTTAATAAAACATTGTACTTTTATTATAAAGATTATTCCTCATTGCTAGCTCAGTATAGGGTTCGGCATAGCCTGGTAGTTAGGACGCTTGACTCACAATCTGAGGGTTGCAGGTTCGAATCTCCGTCCCACCAGATATGATCGCCTTTTCAACCATGGGGGGCGTTATAATGTGACGGTCAATCCCAATATTTATTGGTAGAAGAGTAGCCCCAGAGTTGGTGATGATGAGATGCTGCCTTCCCTCTAGTCTTACACTGCTAAATTAGGGATGGCCAGCGCAGATAGCCCTCGTGTAGCTTTGTATGAAATTCAAAACAACCGAAATCTCTTAAGCTAACTAGACCTCGAAATATATTATTAGGTTTATGTCTGAAGATAACAGCGAGGATATATATCAGATGAAAAAAAATGTATTATTATCTTTATAAGTATTAACATTAAAATAGTATATTTGAATAGCTATAGTTGGTGCCGGTTTGATTTTTACAATTTGATCAAATAGCAGAAGTTTATCTTAATGTAATAACCCTGTTCAGTTAAGAAATAACCCATCATTATCGTGATGTATTTATTGTATTATTTCCATCATTTAGCTTAGGTTGTGAACTGGTACGGGCAGATATTTATTCGAACATATCCAAACGGTCTTTCAACAGTTTTCACAATGCTTCTTCTTGGTTTCTTTTCTTTCGTGATACAGGTTGTACGATAGGCAACAGTTTTCTACATAACATAAGAAAATATTTCATACTTACCTTTTCTAAAGTTCTATAATCACCAATATTTCAAACTGAACAAAGACTATAGAGGTGACAAAGCATTTTCAGTTTTGGTAATACGAACCACGATTATTCTAAAATACTCTCATATGCGGGCATACAGCATGTTTCCAACCTCCTTATTTAATATGTTTTTGTTTGTTTGTTGTTGTTTTTCAAAATTCCTGCTCATATCCTGGATGTGACTTGAATATAGAATGTTGATCAAGGGAAACACTAAGCATCACTCGCAATAGTTACCTACTGAACTAGCTCTCCAGGTAGATGTGCTACCTTTTGTTATTTTTGAGTGCTAAATAAAGATTGTTTTTTGAGTCCCGTCTCCTTTATTGCTTCAAACTCAGTTGAGGTCAAAGAATTAAGATTCACTATGCAGTACATTTTCTATTAAAACTTATTGTTATTCTGTGGCCCTTATCCAATTACTCTTAAAGGGAAACCAGTGCTCCTGAGAGCAAACAGGTAGAAAGCAGAAAATCTGGTGCCATGTCCACAGGATTTGTTTTTGTGGAGTTTTTGTTTTTCCCCTGACAAGTGTATTTACTTATGTTATTCTAAATTCTTGTGTTATTGAGTTGTATCTTGATATTTAAGAAAATTGCATCTTATACAAGGAGGAAGAGGTAGTTTCTGATGGTAGAATATTATTCGGGAAAGTTGTTCAATCTTGGAGAAGTCCCCTCCTGGATGTTAGACTTTTGCTGACACTGTGTAGGTCCAATACTTCTTTATCACAGTGATCATAAACTCAGGAAGGAGAAATATAATCTTTTGTACTCAGAATAGTCCATAATGTTCTTCTCCCGAGTTTTAACCTCAGTGCACAGGAGGCATTGATAACTGAGTAGAGTATTGTTGTGGTGGTGGGGTTGTGTCCAAACCTGAATGTGGTGGTCTATACAGAGCTGTCAAGCATTCATAGACCAGAATAGTCAAACCTAGATTTGGCCAATGCTACATAAAACTAACTGAGAAATACTACTTACAGACAAGGTCTAACAGCTACAGCTGTTTTTCCATTAAGTGAAATAGTAGATATAAACTGGTGAAGTTGAAGATCCATGTGGCAGTTATGAACAGTTATGAAATATACTTCCAATGTGCCAATAGTCACTCACTCACCATTCTGCCACTTGAGGGAAGAAATCTGAGGCTCATTTTTGGATAGAGGTCCCTGAATGTACCCACTCCACTGCACCCTTAACATTTAGGATGGCATAGCCTGACATTGAAAATGGGTAAGTGACATGGAAATGACAGGTTACTGTGATGGAGGCTAAATGTATTACACTCCCAACATTTAAGGTTGTAGTAAAAGAGTATATAGACTGTTTCCTAAAGCATTTCAGGCAGTTTTATCCAAGTTGGGTTGATATTTTCATCCAGTA